TAATCATGGGCAAGTATATGTTGCATTTTCACGAGTTAAATCTTGGGAATCATTAATTATATATTTAGGAAATCAAAGACCTAATTTACTAATCAAGAATTATGTTTACACTGAATTATTGAAATAAAAGTAAATATTTTTTCTATAAAAATGTCTGAGTCGTTATATATTTTTTTTCTTCAAAAAGGAGTGTGTCTCAGTATGGCTGTCTTTACGCGTAAGACTTTCTTCGACGCTTCTTATTGGTAAATTATGTCATTTTTTTGTAATAAGATTCACACGTAAGATTTCTTTACACGTTTCTTTCTTATCAATTGGTCAAAGACGTTTTAATTTCCTAATTTCAAATAATAGTTCAAACTTCAGATAATTAAGACACTTATTTGTACGTATTTTAATGTACTGCCATCCAGTTCATCCAAATGAACTTTGAAAAAAGTTTAAAGATAATATTTCTCAAGATTATTAACGAAATTTTGCATCCCATGAATCTTATAGAAAAGCATATATTGAAATAAATTATTTTCTTCGAAATGACGGAGTACTTACATTTTTTGTATAATATTTACAGAAACCACACTTATATTTCTTTTTTATAGCAAAAGTAGGAACGATTTTAAGAAACAAAAGTAAATTTTTAATTTAATATCCTCTTTTTATGGCTTTCTTTGACAGTAGAGATGTTTTTTTGCTAGCTAAGTGAAAAATAGTTAAAAATTGTTTATTTAGTAACGTTTTTCTTTCATCACTATTTTTTAAAATATAAATTTACTATGGAAGATTTTAAATGTTACAAAATTTAATTAACAAATAGATTACTTTGATTATAAAAAGGTTTTCTATAACTTCATTGTACAAAACTTTTTATAAAATGTGCCATTCTTGAAATATACGCTTTTCTTTGAGCAAAGAAAAGTGTTTTTTTTATCAAAACCATAAACTTTAGAAATGATACATTTAGAAACAGATAAAAACAGAACTAGAATTGTAAAGGTATAAAAATTTTTTTTACGCACAACATAGGCTATTATTTTATTAAATTGAATAATATTTAAAAATTCCTATTATCAGAAACTGTCACTCAAATTGATACCTTAACAAACAAAAGACTGTAATTTAAAGAATAAAAATGCAAAAGAAAAAACGCGCGCGCGGCAGCGCGCGATCGTTCTCGTATTATTAAAAATTAAAAAAAAAATTTCAAAAAAGTAATTGTAAATATAGTTTAGGATCTAATTTGTAAAGAAAAAAAATTATTATCTCAAAAATTAGTAAGGGTAAGTAGAAAATGAATTTTTTCTGAAAAAGAAGCATTTTTTTTGTTATTTATTTGTTTATAATATTTTTATTATTAACAAATTGTGAATCAACAGTTTCCTTAGACTTGTTTAGGTATGAGGAACATGCCTGGAAAAAAACCCTAAATTTATTAATAAGTATGCTATGGAAATACTGAAAACTGAGAAGGAAAAGGTGGGTCGCTGAGCGACCCACTGTGACGCAAAGGGTTAATTATTATAATAATAGTAAATGTTGTTTACCTTGTTCAGGAAGACACGAAAAACTGCGAAAAACAGATTCACCGGCGTAAACACATACACATGTACTTATTTTCGATTGAATGTCAGGAATAATGGAATTCGAACTTAAATACTGCGCGCGCATTGCATCGACATTGCGTTTCGTTACTGTCGACACCAACCATGAAAAAGAAAGTTGTTGTAGAAGCAGCTTAATAGTTGATTACATCCAATGGAAAAACAAGTTCGCCCTGAATGGACAAATATCACACAGCCAATGACAAACGTTCACATTCTTATAAATCTTATTCATGCGCGTTAGAAGTTTAGATTTAACCTACACCTCTCCTTCAACCAACCAATTTTTTGTTGTTTTCCCTTTTCCTAAAATTCTTAGCTTTTTGTTCCTTTTCCTTTTTGTGTTTATGTAATATTTTTCATTGTTTATTAGTTTTTCGTGTATTTACTTTTATAAATTTCATTTCCAAAAAATTTCATAGTTTTATGAAAATAAATTAGTTTTATCAGTCTTTGGATTATCAGCTTTTTATTGAAAATTATGTGAATTGTGTTAGTTATTTTTTACCAAAATGTACCAAGAAGAAGGAAGTGACAAAAGAGACATCACATTAATAACACTAACCAAGAATAATTATCCTTGCTTATACCAAAGAAACAAATGTAGTGCAGAGAAGAGAAGTTCTGCATGGAGTGGAATTGTATCCCACATGATTCAAGCCGGATATTATAAATTGATATCTGGCGAATTTGGTTCGCTATGTTAAATATTTATACAATTAAATAATAAACAATTAAATAATAACAATGAATAATAAATTTATAATAATTATAAAAAAGGAATGGAGTGTCAAACATTGAAATTATTTTTTCAAAAAGATTTAAAAAAAAAGATAATTATTGAATGTAATAAAGTCAATTTTAGTTGATATTGCATTTTATTCATTTTCTATTAGATGCCCGTCTACATGATATCTAACTAAAGAGAAAGACAATTTTCTTTTCAAAATAAAAAGGTCTAAATTAAAATTTAAAACTATAAAAGAGTAACATTTTTGATTAATATTAAAAAATGATGGTATAAGTAATAATAAATAATATATGAAGTAGATGGTAAGTACATTTTTACATTAAATTAAGTAATATGATCACTTAATTATTCTTTATTTAATTTTTTTCAGCCTCTTTCATCAAAAAGATATTATTGAGTGTTGTAAGAAATGATATTAATATAACGTAATACATAGTAACATTTTTATTTTTCAGGTGAAAATCGAGATCAATATATGAAAGATGTAGAAAAAAGTATGTATTATTTATTATTATTAGTCAACAACATCGACTATAAGTTTCAACAAGGACCATCTAATCCTTGATGCTCAGACAATACATTCTTCGACACCTGTATAAACACCTTCTGCAGTAGATAATGTGAAAAAATGAAAATACAGTTTTCTGACAAGCATGTGGATTTCCGTAATGGAGTATCTACTAAATTAAAATGGATTAAGCAAGAAGGTGAGAAAAATTCGAGAAAAAAATAGTTATGTTGGATAATAAAGAAAAGGAAAAGTTACCCTTACAGCAATATGAAGTTCTAGAAGAGTTCCAAAAATTCCAAATGTAAGTTACTTATATGTGACTGTCTGCGACAAAAAGGACCTTAGCTCCCAATAGTGAATTCTGCAGGAAAGGCGATTGAAGTAGTGCGTCTCTGATTGGTGGAGACGTTCTACTAGAATTCAGCCCCACTACTCACTACACATTGATATTTGTCCGCGTTACACGAAGCGCACAAATTGTATGTAGATGACCAGTGCAGTTGTATTGAAAAGTAGAGGGGCTGCTTTTCTGAACAACCACGTGTAAACACTCAACAAGCTCATTTTTAAACATTAATAACAAAAAAATCTATAAGTAAAAATTATTTTTGATGCTTGTATGTGAAAGAGCAACTCAATAAATATTGAATAATATACATAACTCGAAATTAATTTTTTCGGACCTAAGGTCCCTTTTGTCGCGGAACGTCACATATGTCTTATACTTACATACTTCTATATAAAACATAAAAAAATTATACTGAATTGTAGATCAAATAATTGTATACATACTGAAGAAATTATCGACAGAAATGAGACACTAGGTACTGCGTCAAATGAAATCATAAAGTTAAATAGTCATAATGACAAAAACGGTACTGTGGAAATGTTAACTAATAAATTTTAAGGCTGTGAATCAAAATTATAGAATTCTTTAACATCAGCACTAAACTGATCCAGTGGATAATGCGAAAGAAAAGAAAGAAGCAGAAAAATTTCATTTATAAATCAATATAAAGCTACCGAACAATTGGAAAATGCACTTATGTAAGTAATTATTTAGTAAAATTAATTAAAAGTAAATCCTTTTTTTCAAGTACATATTGTATTATAATTTTCAAAAATTAACTATTATAGAATTTTTATTGAAAATTTTAGAAATAATTAAATTTCTAAACATTTTTATGAATAATCTTCAACTGAAGCGTTTTGTGCAGAAACAGCATAAGTCCATAATTCGAAATTGTTCAGGAATCAATAAAAACTGTTTTTCTCGTAAATGTTAAGATTTTTTTTAATTCGGCTTTTTGTATTATATTCTACTAACCTATAAGTTAAAAAATCCAATATGATTAATTAATTATCTACTTAATATAAAAAATTAGAAAATAAATTAACATTTAGACTTATGCTGTTTCTGCACAAAATGAAATGAAAAACACAGAAAATTTATTAAATTCAGTGAAATATCAAAGTTTTATGAAATATTTAATAACATTTATTTAAAATATTAAATTTGGATAATTTTTAGTACCATTTTATAAATAATAAAATTGTTTTAAGAATAAATTTAACCAATTTTTAATATTTTCTAATTTTAAACTAATTCAGTCACCACTGCCACTTTTTGCTTCCCATGAGTGTTTTTATTTATAATATAAACTGTTTAATATAAATTATTAAAATACGTCTAAAATATCACAAATAAATATAAAACTTATCATGTTCTTGTGCTGTTTCTGCACGAAATGATATTTTAATTATTTTTTTAAGGGTTTAGAGTTTAGTCACTTACGTAATATTTTACCAGATTGAAAAGCTTCATTTAAAGATAAATTTTCAATAAAAAAGTGATTTTCGAACAAAATTGACTTATGCGGTTTCTGCACAAAACGCTTCAACTATAAATTCGATAAAAAATGAAAATATTAAAATAGTTTTGAAAAAAGTAATTCTCTGACAAAGTAATTTTAAATTTTTTAAAATTTAGTATTTTATAATTTTTTGAGAAATTATTTATAATTAAAATTCATGAAAAATTTGATTGTTTTTAATATTTTTTAAAAAATCAAATCAAATTTTTATATCTTTTCCTTTTTTTAAACATATTTTGCAAATCTTTATATCATTACAGATGGGAAAATGAAACACTCTATAGAAAAGAAAGTCTTCATAATAATTATTTTTTAGAAAGAGAAATTTTTGAAATGATTAATTCAAACAAAAAAAATATTGCCAAAAAAGCTAATCTTCAAGTTACTAATAATAATTTAACATTAATGAATTATCCAACAACATTGGCAACAGCTGATGTAGTAGAAAATGCGAACTATGTTGAATATAAATTAGCAAAAAAAAATTATAAGTCCTGGAATGAACTACTGTGGAGCTTCAAATCTATTGGTTAAAAAAGAAAAATATATTTTCAAAACCTAATTGGCGCAGTTAACCACAAGAAAGAATGTGTTTCATCTGTGCAGCAATATAATTTTCTTGAAGAAAATGGTGATATACAAATGTAAGCAAGTATTGCCTATTTATATATAAATATATGTAGGGGAAATTTAGGAATTGTGGGCCACCTCCATAATTTAATAATATTTACAAGTTTGATCATCCAATTTAAAAAAAATTTTTTTTCGTCTAAAGTAAATTACATACCGTTAACAAAAATTACCTAAAAAATTGCATTTAAATATTTATTTTGGGCCTTCATGTTTTTATTGTTTTTACAAGAATTGTCAAGAATAAATTATGGAAAATATTTTTTTAATTTTTTGTGTGGTATTGGTACTTTCACTCCAAAAAGAAATTATGCATTATATTAAAATAAATAAATAATACAAAGCTTTTTGTAAAATGAAGCATTTCGGGAATTGTGGGCCACTTTTTTGGGGAAGTATTTGTTGCTTGTTTTTGTCGATTCAATTGCAAATGTTATTAAAATCACTCATAATTATAGTAAGTTAACAAAAACAATTTTATACATTGCGATTCAAGCGATAAAGCTGTTCACTTAAAATGTGTAATTAATTGAGCCTATTTTACTTGTCTAAATTGTGATTTCGATTCATTTCATTTTTTTACTTTTTGTCTTCTAATTTGAAACTAATAATTAAATATTAATAACATTTTTAATATTTTTAACCATGTAATAAATATATTTCATCGTTATTTTTTATTTTAAACTCAATTTAGGCAGTGGCCCACAATTTCCCAACATTTTTATAAATCAAAATAGTGCAATCTTTGGTAAAACTGAAATTTCTTTTAGATAAGTGATAATTTTGGTAAACTGACTATGATATATGATTGTTTAGACCTCTTACTAAAACGAGAAATTTGAAAATTAAAAAAAAAATTTTAAGATATTCAACTAAGAAAAAGTGTAGCCCACAATACCCTAATCTCCCTTATGTAAATTTAAGTAACACTAAAAAAACTGCAATCACATTGATTCAATTAAAAATTATACCTGCAAATTCAATTCATTATGATATCTAATATGTATTTTAAAATAATGCTTGTCTTTAATAACGAAAATTTCTATACAAAATAAAGGTTTATACATAAAAATAATTGTTTTCAGTAAATTAGATATGAAACTCGCTAACACTTTCATTGGAAAAAATGTAAAGTCTCATGATGAAATACGGAAACCTTGCATTATTAGTACTGTAGTTTTAAAAGAACCACTCATTAAGAAAAAGAAACTTGAATTGTATTAGGATAATTCTATAGATGGCATTAATTCTAATGACGGAGAAAAGGAAAATATAAATACTTTGAAGAAAATGTGTACAATTAAAGACAGGGATGATTGTCAGCCTGATAACATCGAATGTATTGAAAGAGAAACTGTTGTGAGGAGAAAAGAGACAGATGGTATAAACTTAACGAAAACACCATCAAGCAGGAAAATGACATCTTCAATAAGTTCTAATTTCAAAAATCAAGTTTTCAGTAATTACGAAAATCATCGCCAAAAAACTTACGAAAGAAACGGTACAATACTATTGGGTCAAATTTTCTCAAAAAAATCAAAGTTTGTCATGGGTCTTTCAATTTTTGTGAAACTTTGTATGAAGGTAGTGTTTTATGACAGAAGATTTTAGGAAAAAAAGATTTTTCAAATTTTTTAAAATTGTGGATTTTACCGGACATGAAACATTAAAGCACATTTTTTTGAAAAACGAATAACTTTTATCCATTTAGTTAGATTTTGTTTATATTTTAGGTAATAATAGTTGATTATCTAATAATTTAAAGTGCAATATTAAAGAAAAAAAAATCCAAAATTTGCCCGGAAAAAAAGTCAAAAAAAATATTGATTTCATTTTTTCGGGCATAAGCACCCCTTTGATTCTTTTGTAACTATAATATTTGGATTCATTATCTTCTCCAGAATTTTTTGCAAAAAAAAATCCCTGGAAACTTTAAAACTAACCGAAATATCGAATTTTTTGTATCGAGGTGCACAGATTTCGATCTCGCGTAAACACGCCTGAGATGTGCACCAAACGTTCTTAAGCGTGAATTTTCGCATTCTAATACTTTTTTATTAATTTTTTAGTAAAAAAGGAAGGTTTAAAAAAAATGTAGGGGGGAGGGGGTTGAAGATCTTGGATCAGTATAATCAGTTTTTTTTTAATTATTAATTAATTAATTAATAAAAATTGAAATATTTTACAATATGAAGTATTTTGATTAAATTGACGTTTTACAAATAAATATTTATAAAAATAAAGATAAAGTGTTAGTTTTTTTTTAAACAAATGTTTATATAATTCTACTTTAAAAAAATATATTTTAGTTATTTGCAACGATTGTTTAAATAAAATATTCAACACCTTATGCGTGTATCACGCTTGATATTGATATTAAAATAATAAAAAATTATTTAGATAAAAAATAATCATCTCTTCTTACATCAAAAATGTAAAAATTAAAAAAATGTACTTAAGAAAATGTTAATAGTATATTTCGTAACGAGTGCGAGCAGTTGTCAATTTTTGAACGAGCACTTTGATTGGAACAAAATGTAGGCGAAACGAAGCTGCGCCTACAGTTTGTTCCAAAAAAGTGCTCATTCAAAAATTGGAAACTGCTAGCACTAGTTACGAACGATATTTTTCATAACAAGGTGCAAAAAAGTGCCCTTTTTAGCACCGCGTTATGAAAAAAATATTAAGCCGGGAAGAATAGTTAAAAAAAAAAAATTTTTCAAAATTTTTTTTAATTTTTAAAAGAAGGGTTAAATTTTGAATTTTTAAAAAAAATTCTCACTATTTGATAGAGCAGAAAAAAACCTACCAAAAACATATAGGTCACAATTTTTTTTCTTTATTATATAAAAGCTACGATTTTTTATAAAACTCACTGTTTATACTGATCTCAGGCGTGTTTACGCGAGATCGAAATCTGTGCACCTCAAGACAAAAAATTCGATATTTCGGTTAGTTTTAAAGTCTCCAGGGATTTTTTTTGCAAAAAATTCTGGAGAAGATAACGAATCCAAATATTATAGTTACAAAAAAATCAAAGGGGTGCTTATGCCCAAAAAAATGAAATCATTATTTTTTTTGACTTTTTTTCCGGGCAAATTTTGGATTTTTTTTCTTTAATATTGCACTTTAAAGTGTTAGATAATCAACTATTATTACCTAAAATATAAACAAAATCAAACTAAATAAATAAAAGTTATTCGTTTTTAAAAAAAAATGTGCTTTAATGTTTCATGCCCGGTAAAATCCACAATTTTGAAAGTTTTGAAAAATTTTTTTTTCCTAAAATCTTCTGTCATAAAACACTACCTTTATACCAAGTTTTACAAAAATTAAAAGACCTATGACCAACTTTGATTTTTTTGAGAAAATTTGACCCAATTTTGACATTGGTACACTTGAGAAAATTTGCCCCTTATATATTACATACACATTTTGAGATTCAAAATTGTTTAAAAACAAATTTGTAATTGCAAAACTTAATTTTTAAACCTTCTTTTTTCACTCAAAATTAACAAAAAAATATTAGAATGCGAAAATTCACGCTTAAGAACGTTTGGTGCACATCTCAGGCGTGTTTACGCGAGATCGAAATCTGTGCACCTCGAGACAAAAAATTCGATATTTCGGTTAGTTTTAAAGTCTCCAGGGATTTTTTTTTGCAAAAAATTCTGGAGAAGATGACGAATCCAAATATTATAGTTACAAAAAAATCAAAGGGGTGCTTATGCCCGAAAAAATGAAATCAATATTTTTTTTGACTTTTTTTCCGGGCAAATTTTGGATTTTTTTTCTTTAATATTCCACTTTAAATTGTTAGATAATCAACTATTATTACCTAAAATATAAACAAAATCGAACTAAATAGATAAAAGTTATTCGTTTTTAAAAAAAAATGTGCTTTAATGTTTCATGCCCAGTAAAATCCACAATTTTGAAAGTTTTGAAAAATCTTTTTTTCCTAAAATCTTCTGTCATAAAACACTACCTTTATACCAAGTTTTACAAAAATTAAAAGACCCATGACCAACTTTGATTTTTTTGAGAAAATTTGACCCAATTTTGACATTGGTACACTTGAGAAAATTTGCCCCTTATATATTACATACACATTTTGAGATTCAAAATTGTTTAAAAACAAATTTGTAATTGCAAAACTTAATTTTTAAACCTTTCTTTTTCACTCAAAATTAACAAAAAAATATTAGAATGCGAAAATTCACGCTTAAGAACGTTTGGTGCACATCTCCGGCGTGTTACGCGAGATCGAAATCTGTGCACCTCGAGACAAAAAATTCGATATTTCGGTTAGTTTTAAAGTCTCCAGGGATTTTTATTTGCAAAAAATTCTGGAGAAGATAACGAATCCAAATATTATAGTTACAAAAAAATCAAAGGGGTGCTTATGTCCGAAAAAATGAAATCAAAATTTTTTTTGACTTTTTTTTCTGACAAATTTTGGATTTTTTTTCTTTAATATTGCACTTTAAATTGTTAGATAATCAACTATTATTACCTAAAATATAAACAAAATCTAACTAAATGGATAAAAGTTATTCGTTTTTCAAAAAAATGTGCTTTAATGTTTCGTGCCCGGTAAAATCCACAATTTTGAAAATTTTGAAAAATAATTTTTTCCTAAAATCTTCTGTCATTAAACACTACCTTTATACCAAGTTTCACAAAAATTAAAAGACCCATGACCAACTTTGATTTTTTTGAGAAAATTTGACCCTATTATAATATTTTACGTTATTCTTTATATCAACATGTGCTTATTTTTTATTATTTAATGTGTTATTTATAATTCTTATTATTTACTTATTTTCAGAATACCATCCACCTGTTAATAACTTCGCGAAAAAAAAGAGACAGTGTTGGGAGGAAAGAGATCAAGCGTTTCAAGAAGCAATTAAGGATTTTAAAGAGTGTACTAATGTAATAACTTTCTTTTATGCGAACCAAAGCAATTTGACTAATTTGAACTATACTAACAACAACGAAAGCAACGTTAACATGAATATCATCCAAGATGTTATTAATAAAGAACTGAAAACGTCATGAAATATGGATGGATATGAGAAGGAGTTAATTACCACTTTCAGACAAGTAAGTTTTAAAAACAAACGATTTGTTTTTAGTTCAATAATAAAAAATGTTGATAATATGATTACAACATTAGAAAACAACGATCAACATATAGTAGAGGAAAATGATGGTAATGCATAAGGCAATAAAAAAGAGATTCGAATTTTTTATTTTTTTAAAACATTTATTTTTATTTTATGTTTTCTTATAATTTTTGTTTGCAACAAGCAGTATGCACCGAGCTGCACTAGCAGCAATATTCATAATAAAGTTTTATTTTTTTTTTTATTTTAAAAGTAAAAAATAGGGAATGAAAATTTTCTAGTTTTATTTTTTTAAATATTTTCTTTCAATTTTTTATTTTATATTATTATAATGCCTGTTTCTCTTAATGAGAAAAGTGATAAATATATATTCTATTTTTGAAATTGTTGACATGTGATTTACAAGGCTTAGCAGATGTTGGTTGAAAAATATGAAATATTTAAATGCTTTGTGTAATATAATAACGATAGTGTTCAAGATAATTGTGATATCATTACATGTTTATTTTTTGTTATTGACATTGTCATTTATAGTATACAAAAAAGATATTTTTGTGACCGTATTGAATTAGAAATACAAATATATTATAAAGAGATTCAAATGTTAATTTACAAGCAAACTTCTTGTTCATATTGTTTAATTAAAGTTTATCAAATAAAAAAAGCTTTATATTATACGTATTCTTCATTAAAATTTAAACAAAAGATCTGCAAATGTTTCTCTTAGGAGACGAAATTTAAATAAGCATTAACTTCTGGTCTGATTTAAACACTACAATCAAAGAAAATTCTTTGTAATTGCTGCTTTATTTTATGTCAAAATATTTTGCAAGTTCTTCTCTTATTTTTACCTTAGACATTATTGATTGGTTCAAATTACATCTGCCTTCTTCTTCTCCTTCATCATCATCTTCTTCTTCGTCGTTGACATCCCTCATTTCGCAATGAAAAGTGAGGTTATGTAACAATGTTTACGTCTAGTCAATAATTTCAGTCTCTTTGAAAAATGATATATACATGTATTATTGAATTATATATAAGTACATTTTCTTGTATTTGTTTATTATTAAAAATTATAATAAATTATTCTTGATTATTCAGAAAATAAAAAAAATTTTAATTTGCTTGTTTGAAACATAAGAAATTTAAAGGTTATGTATAGGTGCCAACCACTTGAAACTGGTGGGTGCCAACGACTAGTGCTTGCAGTGCCAACGACTGGAAATTGGTGTCATTATATCATTATTAATTAATTTAAAAGTTTCAGTTTATTCTTATTCAAAATTGATAATTTTATCGTATTCTGCATTAAATTCTGAATACATATATTACTATAAGTATTATATAATATTAGTTTTTATCTATTAAAATATTTCTTAAAGTCAAAATTTGGCCTTAAGGGTGCCAACGACTGGAGCAGTTACCCTAATAAAGGAATTACAGAAAAATTTTATTTAAAAACACTTAACTAAGTTTAATTATCTAACCTAATCTAATCTATCAACCGAGATCGAGCTGGATTTCCTCAAGAGGGGAAAGTGAGAACCTAAGTTATAAAACCCATTGTACCAAACTCCAGCTCGCTCGTTTATCGCAACCCCTTAGAGTCCTGTTTTTCTCCAGAAGTCCAGTATCTCTTCTATCGATAGGTTGCTCACCTGCTTAGGGTCAATAATTGCTTGACCCCAGCTAGATAGCCTGATCCTAGCTAACGCTGGGCATTCTGATAATATGTGAGTTGAAGTTTCGTTACTCTCCCCACACAGTCTGCACATAGGTGAAACTTGTCTGCCTATTTTATGCTGATGGTAATTCAATTGTCCATGTCCCGTAAGTCGCTTGCCTTCCCACCCCAACGTTCGCCCAATACTTCTTATGTTCTTTTTGACCCCATCTTTCTATGACTCCCTTAACCAAGCAAGGCATTATTGCCACTGCTAGTTCAGGACCTATAAATTCTGTCTCGGAACCGATTTTCGCCAAGACGTCTACTCTTTCATTACCCTTGATTCCCGAGTGTCCCGGTACACAAATCAATGAAAGTTTATTTGCTGAACCCAACTCATCTAGTACGCTACGGCATTCCCAAACGAGTTCTGATTCTATTGTGGGATTTTTCAGAGCCCCTAAGGCCGCCTGACTATCTACACAAATACTAATCCTCTTGCCCTTTGTTCCATTTCGAGTGGATATTTGGGCGCAAGTTAAAATCGCACAGACCTCTGTCTGCCAGACCGTGGCATAATGTTCTAGTGACTCATCCACTTTAATGCAGCCAGTTTTTCTATAAATTCCGAAGCCTGCACCGCAGTCCATCTTGGAGCCGTCTGTATACCAGACTTCGTCCCCAAGTGGAAAACCTTTCTTCCAGTCAATTCTGGAAGGTGTAATGATCTTAAAGCGGGGTTTAAATTTCACCCTCTTGATCATTCTATCTTGCACCATACTTAATTCTGGTATTGATAGAATTGAGCGTCGAAGCTTGGTGTGTATACCACCAACCTTCCACATTCCCTGCGCGGTTAACCTGCCCATAGTAAAAGCCGCCTTTTTTATTTCGGCAATATGCAGAGGTACCTCGGCTAGCATGAATCCCAACGCAGCTGTTGGCGTGGTTCTCATAGCTCCCGTAATACCCCTGAAAATCATTGCTTGCAGTTGGTCTAGTTTCTCTTTAACCGTTATCAGTTGAGTCCTAGACCACCAAACAACCACCGCGTGAAGAAACCTGGGTTTTAAGACCATCTGATAGAGCCAGTTGACCAGATTAGGCCTTAGTCCCCACGATGACCCTATTGCCCTTCTACACGTCCAAAAAGCAGTACAGAATCTTCTATACTGATATTCAAAATGTTTCTTCCAAACCAACTTTTTATCCAGGATTACTCCCAGATACTTAGCCGATTCAGAAAAAGAAATTTCTTTTCCATAAAATATCGGTTTCTTCAAACTTGGTACCTTATATTTTCTTGTGAAAACTACTATATTCGTTTTCTCTGGATTTACGGAAAGTCCAGTCAGATTGGACCAATCCTTGACAATCTTAAGTGGACGTTCTGTAAGTTCTAAGAGGGTCTCAATTGCGTGCCCTCTTATAATTATAAGGAAATCATCCGCATAACTTTGCGTATAATATCACTGGCTATTGAGGTTTCTAATTAACTCATCTGCACCAACCCTTTTGAGACAAGGCCTGTTACCTTAGCCTCACCATACTCTGTTTCCAGGGCCCTTTCGCAAAGCATGCTGTCAATCCACTTAACTAGCGGCTCGGGCACACTTCGCATCCTGGCTGCCCTACAGATAGCTTTGCTAGAGGTGTTAGGGAAGGCACCTTCGATATCAAGAAAGGTACCAACCGCATAGCCACCACTGCTAATTTGTCCCTCTATTCTGCCTACTGCCGAATGGAGGGCTGTTTCTACTGAGAAGCCTGCTCTATATGCATGCTGTCCCTGATGTAGGGGAGAATCTCTAAGACATTCCTGTCGAATAAAATTATCCACCAGTTTCTCTAACGTCTTTAATATAAAGGAAGTTAGGTTGATTGGCCTGAAGTCCTTCGCCGCAGTATACCCTGATCGACCGGCCTTTGGAATAAACACAACTCTCGTCTTTTTCCAAGACTCCGGTGTATAACCAAGAGCTATACATGCTCTCATAATTTTACACAGGGGTACTCTAATACAATCCAATCTCTTTTGCAAAAGAACCGGATATATACCGTCCCCCCTGAAGCCTTAAATGGTTTGAAAGTGCTTATTGCCCAATCAATCCCTTCCGGAGTTACGACCTTGGCTGCTAGTTTCCAGTGTTCCTGATATCCTCGGTTCCTACCTGGTCCTATTCCATGGCTGTTCTCCAAACCTTCTCTAAAGTCCGGGAAGTTTACTTCTATCAGGTGCTTTAGACACTCCCTTTTATCCTGGGCATACTGCCCATTAGGCAGCTTAATAGTAGTTAATTTTGCCATTGGGTCTCGAGCTAGTACTTTATAAAGTCTTGAAGCTTCTGGTACTCTCTCGATTCCCTCGCAAAAACTTCTCCAGCAGACACCCCTTGCCCTCTCTACTTCTTTCTTGGAAGAATCGCGAGCGGTATGATATTCATCCCATGCTCGCTAATGCCTACGTTTCTTGGCTTTATTAAAAAGCTTTCTTACAGTTTTCCTATGTTCCTCCAAACGGGGGGTCCACCATTTACCGCCCCCATTGAAGCCCATTTTCTTAACTACACAGTTCCTTTCAAAAGAACAGATAATAGAATCTCGCAGATATTCCGCTGCAAGCTCTAACTCCTCCCTCGTTCCATAAGAAGTGTGGAAGCATGCAATGGAGGCCTTTAGGTCTTCACTATATGAAGCCCAGTCGGTACTCCTAGGATTACGTCCCCACTCCTGCTCCTGATCTATCGATTCCAATCTAAACGTAATAAGCCTGTGGTCCGAGAGGGAATCTTCATCAGACACCCTCCAGTCCCCGACGCCATCACACAAAGACTTGGAACATATCGTAATATCCAACACCTCTTTTCTGTTAACAGTAACGAAAGTCGGCTTATTACCCTGATTTAGAATATCTAAATCTGTATCTAACAGAAAATCTAAAAGTCTTCTGCCTCTGTCATTAATGTCTGTGCTATGTACCCCAAACAACATGATGCGCATTAGCAGCACACTCTATTATCAAAGGAAGCCCTCGCCTTTGACAGTACTCTACCAAACTCTCCACCTCTCTTGGTGGTGGAGGTTCATCCCCTGTTCCCGGAAAATAAGCAGACGCTATTACCACCTCCCTTTTATTTCCGTTCTTTTCTAGATACTTAGCTTTAACTACAGCTAAGTCCCTAGTAGTAAATTCCAAAAGAGGGAAAGCGTCTAGACCTTTATAGATCAGACACGCCCTTGGAACTGGTTCCTGTGGTAAACTAACCAGCTCGCCACAGCCGTTCAGACCTCTAATTCTTCTCTTGAAAACCCAAGGTTCTTGAATAAAGGCTAAAGCTGTCTGCATCTTTGTCAAGCTCTTGGCTAAAATCGCCGAAGCGCCCTTACAATGATGCAAATTAATCTGCGTACAATGAATCCCGGAAGCAGCTATTTTTAAGGCTGATTCACGGTCTCCTTAGTCGCTTCCCCCCCTGGGTACCCTGCCCAGCAGCTGTGTCAGTACCTTGCCTCGCCACTCTTAGAGTGATTTGACCTAGCCCAAAACACAGTTTCAACTGCCGGGCTTGGAGAGCTTCTATCTCGCTCTCTGGTACTCCTAACGCGAGAGTCCAGCCCACATTTTTACTTATTTTTGCATTTAAATAATTAAATTCTTTTAGAATTTTATAATAAAAATAAAACAAATAAAATAATATATATTTATTTTGCAGTTAGAGCAATTAAATCAAGATGGGATTATTTAAAAAAAAAGTTATTCATGAAAGAACACAAAAAGAGAAATAGGTATATATGTTCCTAGTGGAACAGGTGTTCAAGAGGAGAAAGTGAGCACATTTGATTATTATGATGCAATGATGTTTTTAGATTGTCACGTCAGGCACAACAGGTAATAGTGAGTTTTTACGAGGTTTCCATAGATCAGGAAATTCAATTATTTTTTAGAATGCTAACAAATATCTCGTCATAAATTCTATTATCTTTATAAATAAAAAGAATTTTAACAAAAAGTCAATTATTATCAAAAATTTAAATGAAATTCTTTACAAAATTTCAATTATTTTAAAATTTTTATTGCAATTTAATGATTTTAAATATTTACTATTTTTATAAAATTTATAAAATAATTGAATTATTGAAAACAATTTTTTATACACTTTCTACGAAAAGATTCAATTATTTTCATAAATAAAAAAATTTCATTTAGAAATTCAATTATTTTTATCGCAGAATTTCAAATGTGTTTAATGCAATTATAAATAAATTCCTTGAAAAATGCAATTATTCTTAACATTTTTTTAAACTTGACGAAATGATTAAATTATTTTCATAAATAACTTTTAATTTTTCTCAGAATAAATTATTTTCTAAAATATTTAAGTAAATCTACAAAAGAATACAATTATCTTGATAAACAACAAAATTATTCCCATGAAATCGATTATTTTAAGAAATGTTAATAATGTTCTTTTCCAAAATTCAATTATTTTGATAAACAACAAAATTTGTAACAAGAATTTAATTTTTTTTTTAAAGTAATAAAAATACTTTGCAGAAATTAAATTATTTTACAACGTCTTAAAAAATTTTCGTTAAGAATTAAATTATTGTCAACAATTTTAATAACATTTTTAAACAAAATTTTATTTATTTAAACGAAATTTAATAAAATTCGTCTCATAAATTTAATTATTTTTAAATATTGTAATAAAATTCTTCAATAAGTTTTTAATTATTTTTAAAAATTGTTATAAAATTCTTTAATATTATAAATTGCAATAAATAGTTGTTAATAAAATTTTTCGTAAAAATTAAATTTTAAAAAATATTCAATAATTATTCAATAAATTATTTATTTTTGTTTAGAATAATTTAACTTTTGAAGAAAAATTTTTAAATAAATGTAATAAGACATTTTTTGAGTATGAAATGAGAATGAGATTTTTGAGAATGAATCAGAATATATTTTAGAGTCAGAGAAAAAGTCAAAAATCTGTCTGGAAATCAGGGAAAAATAAAGTTAAATTTTTGTGGCAACGCTGAAATTTTACTTCTTAAATAATTTAATTACCTGCATTATTTTCAAATTTTTTTCATATTTTTACATTTTCATAACCTTTTAATACTATATTTTTTATTTATATTTTGTAGAACGTTTAGTAATTTTGAGTTGCCTTCGAACAACATTTTCGCTTCCAACAACTGGTCGGAAATTGAAGTGGAAGAGGAAAATGAGGAGGAACAAGTTTTAGAAAAGTCTAATAATGATTATATTGAAAAAGAAAATGATGACATTGGAGAAGAAATTCTACAATGTGGCAAATTCATTAATAAAATGTTAAATAATATTATCGAAAAGCAAAAAAAAATGTGTTCAAACAATCTGTTCGGTTATGAAGAAATAATGTTAGAAGCGTTTAGGCGCCTACCAAAGGAGAAAAAGTTGGAGAAATTTAATAAAATAATGAACATCATAGAAAATTAAGGACAATAGTAACAACTTGCAAAATGTATCCAATATTTTAGTATTAAATGTAACTCATTTCTATTTTTATAGTGCAAAAAATTACAAATCATCATATTTATCATTAAAAGTCTTTAAAAACTTGATTATTTTTATTTTTTGAAAATATTATACCTACCTTAATAAACTTAAGAAAAAAAACATAGACAGTTACAATTATTCTACTTTCTGAAAATGATTTAAAATAATTGATTTAGTGATTTTATTATTTGAAGCAATGTTTATAAAATTCTTATGAAAAATTTCAATTATTTTCAAAAATTACAAAAGTTTTTACAGAAATTCAATTCTTTTTAAACATTCTTAGCAACTATTCAATTATTATTTTCTAATAAATAATCAAATTCATCGAAGGATTTTAATTATATTTAATACAATTTCACAGGAATTGATCGAGAAATGTACCTAATTATTTTTGAAAATTTAATTTAAATTCTTCAAAAAAATTAATTAATTCAAAAAATGTTTTGATTCAATTCTCTGGAAGAATTCAATTATTTATAAAAATATTGGAATTTTTCATAGAAATTCAATTATTATCAATATAATTTTAATAAAATTGATAAATCATATTTTCAATTATAATTATAAACAGACATTTGTAGATTTATTTATGTTTAAATAAAATAAATTTAAATTTTATGAGAAGAAAAACAGGGAAAAATTTGTAAAATACAGGGAATTTCGTTGAACGAAAATAGTAAACACCCTGATGAAAATTTTGTATGGAATTCAGGGAAAAATTATGATAAAAGATAATATTTAACCAACAAAAATATCTAAGTTTGTAGGAAGATAACCTCAAAACATGAATTTTACAGGGTATCTTAAACTTTAAATACAGTGCACAAGATTCCATCTGCTCATATTTCCCCTCTTGCGCTTTCTATGTACATGTTGAGAACCATTGGTTTCACTCAATACAGAGCTTGTGGTGGGGGTACGACAGTCGCAACGACTCGCGATTTCGCCAACATGTGGAACCGCTGTAATGGGTTTTCTCGCCAGTGGAGAGGGAAACTGTAGAAAACCTCTCCGATTACAACCGGTTTATCGACAGTCGAATTCTATGTGTGTACCGGACAATAATCGACGGTGCACATCATTATACTTCAGTATAGTAATTTTTGTGTATTTGGACGACGGATTTAATAACGTTTAATATTCATATTTACTTTTTAATACAAAACTACATTGTTAAACAAAAATTATATATTTAAAAATCAATTGAGCGAAAGCACCATTTGTCGATGGTCGATTGTATTTTTAAACATGTAACCTGACAATTAACCTATACCGATATTTAGAAAATCGAGAAGTTATTTATTTTTTTGATAAAAATATATTATAGAACATTAAAAGGAAACAAATATATTTATTCAACTGTAGTTCAATAATTTATAATATTGATATAAATACTTTCTTTACAGTATATGATAGAGAAGAGAAAACTATTTTTCTATTTTTTAAACTTTTATAATAACTTAATTAAATTAAATCAAATGTGTTAATTGGACATTAATTAAAAAAATAATTAAATAATAATAACACAACAAACAATTGTGTGCATATTTGACAGCAGTGAATTATAACTTTAATTAAATAATTATTTTAGTAGCATTACTATGAAAGTTGAATATGTAAATATATTCTTTTTTTAAGAAATTTGTTAAAAAAAATTTCTATCTGATATTTTCTTTTTCAAAATATTTCAAGAAAATCTCAAGTATTCTTTTTTTTAAGTACAAAAACTTTCAAAATGTTTTCTAATTTTTAATAACGATTTTCATAAAAGTTAAGAATTTTAGAAATAAATAAAAAATTACCATAATTTCTATTTTATATTCACAATTTTTGTAGAAAACTTTTTGTTTTTTTTGGAAAAAAACAAACGCATCAACCAATTTTTTCACAATTTTTATTATTTTTGTGCATACACATGGAAATTTTCAGTATAAATATTATTATATTTCTATTTATCTATTTTTATTAATGTAAAATTTATTTTTGGATCTTTTTTTATTACAATTATATTATATTATTTTTGATTTCTTGTAGATGAAGCTTCAAAAATAAAATTAAAAAAAAAATTCAAATTAAAAAACATTTAAAAATGGTTTAAACGAATTTCCCTCTAAATAAGAGTATGTTACATAAGATCCTGATCAAATTAAAGCAAAAAATCGCTATTTCTAGGGTAATGTCACATTGAGTGGACCGCCACTTTGAGTGGACCACCTGAGTTTTTAAGTTATCTGACAGCGGAAACATGAAATAAATAAAACGAATAGCAGCACCGCACCTAGAAACCGTAAGAAATTAAGTTCCGCGATAAACATGTACGTTATTGTTTGATGTAACGCATTTTTTAGAATACAAACCAAAAAAGAAGTCGCTCTTACAATGAGTAAAGTGATTCAGAAGTGTAAAAGTAGTGTAAAATTTAAGTTTTTAAAGGTAACTTATTTTTTTCCTACTACTTTGGACATTGCAATTGATTGTCTTAGTTTAATTAAGTGATAATTTTGACTCAAAAAAAATTGTGGTGGCTGCCATAAAAAGTTGTATTTCACTATGAGTGGACCACTGTTTATAACCATGAGAGGACTGCCTGTTTTTTATATTTTTAATGTCAGTTTACCATTTTTAAGCAGGGACTTTCACGAAAAATTTGTGTCGTGCCCGTGCCGTGCCTTGGCACGACACGAAGTACGATTTGTAATTCGTGCCGTGCCAAGGCACGACACAAAGTTCGCTTGGTAATTCGTGCCGTGCCCAGGCACGACACGAAGTTTGCTTGGTAATTCGTGCCCGTGCCAAGGCACGACACGAATTACACTTACTAAATCGTGTCGTGCCTTAAATATTGCTTTTGAGATTCTACACAATATTCCATGCGTGCCTTTAAAACGTGCCTTGGCACAACACATTTCAAAAATTTTATTTGTGTCGTGCCTTGGCACGGCACGAATTACCAAACGTACTTTGTGTCGTGCCTAGGCACGGCATGAATTACCAAGCGTTATTCGTGTCGTGTCAAGGCACGGCACGAATTACAAAACTTTTTTCATGTCGTGCCAAGGCACGGCACGGGCACGACACGAATTTTCGTTTTTTTCGTGTCCGTGTCGGTCCCAGAATAATTATTAATTAACTCACCAATGGTAACTTATTAAAATTTATATTCCTCTTTTTGCTAGAGACAGAAAAGTCTCTTATTACTTGACTTCTAGTTACACCTGTGATAGTATTCACTTTTACTTCCTTTTTTCTTTATCTTTTATGCTCTTCTTTCAATGGTCTTTAAATAAATTCTTTTTACTTTCAAACTAAATAAAAAAAATCAAAATTAATTTTAATATTTAAAATTTTATGGTCACCAAATTTTAAATTTGTAATCAATTCTGAAATTCTTTATTTAACGTAGAATGAGAGAAATAAATCTTCAAATTGCAAAGAAACTGAGGTTTAATATTTTTATTTCTTTTTGCTTTTAAAATCCTTTTTTTAAAATAATCTTTATTAAATTTTCACTCTACTCTTCGTACAAATTATATTCTCAAATATTTTTACTTTTAAATCTATTTATCTCAAATAACTTCTTTAATATTTTCATTAAATAATTATATTTTTAAATGAATCACTTTGTTTCAATTATAATCTTCAACAAACAACTTTAAATAATTATTATTTCACTCAATATTATATATTTTCACAACAGTAATTAATTAGATTAAATTAATTCAATTGATTTAAAATCAACCCTTAAATTCGGGGAAATAAAATACAAAAACCTACGCCTTTTTGCGGGAATAAATCACGAAATATAAAAAAATTTGTAACGTCCGCTCTGCGGGAAATACTAATTAAGACTCCTCGATTAATTAGCGTGGACAATCGGTCACACCCTGGAAAATCGACTCAAATCGGTAAAGTGGGAGAATCCGTTGCACACGGCCCACCAAACCTTGCTGTTGCCAAGCAAGCTTTTAGCAATCTTGCAAATTCCTCAAGAATGGCGTGATATAGTTTGATACTTTATATCCTGTTTCGCCAATGTGCATTCAATTTAGATATTCTCCACAATATTATTTTTGAAAAAACTCCTTTCTTTAGAGAAATATCTTTTTAATTTAAGGTAGTTGATAAATTCCCAAGGGTTGTAGACGATTTCCATACTTGATAACATTTATTTTGTATTCCCCAATCACCCAATATTTAGGTAAAAACCATTGAAAAATATTTAATTTCGAATTTTCTAAAGTTCAGATATAATAAATAAAAAAATTCGATAATATAAGTAATCAATTGAAGAGAAGATCATAAAAAAAATTCTTTTAACCCTATTTTATGCGTATGTGTTACTTAATTTAAATTAACAAGTTTATCCATTTTAGATTCTATATAATATTAATAAAAAAAAATATTTAAATAAATTAAAATAGTTACGATTTGAACGTAACACAATTATTTAAATAATAATTTAACCTTGCCTTCTGCTCGGGACGTAACAGTTTGCTTGACGTAAACTTAGAAGATTTGCCGATTGGCAAGGCATTAGGAATATCTGCAATGAAAAGACCTCTTTTGTTATATAAAGTTGAAAAGGGGTGCTGTGTTGAAATTAAATGTCCAGCAAGAGAAAAAAATAAGTTAGTCAACGACTTAATTACAAAGTTAAAAGATTTTAGAAGAATTTACGATTCCAAGCAGCCAAATTCACTAAATAAAAGACATTATTATTATTATCAACTGCAGGGTCAAATGCATCATGCCGAGAGAAAAGATGGTCTTTTTGTGTTGTGGACAGACAAAGATATAAAAGTAACTCCAGTTTTTAGAGATGATAATTTTTGGCGAACACAAATGGAGCCAAAGTTACTAAGTTTTTAGTTTGACTCTCTACTTCCAGAAATTGTAGACAGTCGTGATAAAAGAAGTATGGATAATAGAGAACCTGTTTACGTTACTGGGAGTTAAAAAAAGTCAAAAATTGCAAAAAATGTCCCAAAAAACACAGAAGCGAAT